GTATATAAGTAATAAGTGGTCTGGCAACAGCTCCAGAGATAGTGAATAACAACCGTAGTTCAACCGAAATCTACATAACATAAAAAAAGTTAAGAGTAAGGGTCTCCGGCCACCAAGTCATTGCTGTCAGCTCCAGGAAACGAATAATTAATGGCGAAATACAGTCATTGGGCGCTGGCTGTAACTACCGGTATACAGGAAATAATAAAGGATTTACGCTTCATATGCACATGATCGTTTTAGAGGACAAAAGGGAAGGACGTGTGTTTTATGTCCAGATGAGGAAATCGTCTTGGGGTAGTGCAGCCCAACTAAGACGAAGGTGGCTACTCCTCGCACGTCGAAGTTAGCTGTAGGCCTAGCACAGTATCTTCAGGCTACCCAATGCATATACATATTTTAAATCAAACAAAATGACAGCAGGGGGCGGCGTCGTAAGGGAAACCAAACACGTAAGATCGGTCGGTGTGGAAATCCTGTGATTGTGGGCTAGATTTCCTGGAGGCCATTAGTGAGTTGGACAACATTAGGAAAACCTAGGTCGTAAGGGGGATGACCACCAGGCCCCGAAGCACCGCTGTCAGCACTAAACTATGAGTGGTGATGAAGACTTTCGACGCTGGCCTAGTACGCTGGTAGTGGAGTGCTTACAGTGTCGCTATATACATATATATATATATATATAATCGACTAGGGCGAGGTATAAGTTGACCGGGGGGATTAAAAACAACCAGGCCAATAACACAGCACCTCTAGATTAAGTAGGCACCTAAGTTCTACAGTGACCACGGAGAAGTCCAAACTCTTTATTGAGAAGGACATCACCGACCAATGGTGATAACCTATAACTTTGAAGGTGCCTTGGGCCCTGCAGAAACAAATAATTATATGCATCTTTTGTCACGAGGAATGCCCGTGGACCGTTTAAAGGTAATTTGTGTCTCTTATTTCTACAACTGTCGCCGGCTTAGATCGTGTGATGGACTGCATAAAAGCCATTTTACAACTAGCAGAGTTCATCAGTAGTGTTGCGTTCCACCTTTCAAATTTAATTGTAATTGTGGGCGTCATCACGGAGGGTACACTTCGAAGGGCCGCTAATTCATACGTCGAGAGAATTTGAAGAAATCGCGACAATGCTAATCACGTTGACGATTAGTTTACCACGCAAAGCCTTCTAAACAGTATATCGAGGGTGATTCCACGCCCTGACTTGCGCTGTGGGCCTTGAAACGGCAAACTCAGGCTTCGAGATTTTCCGTCCTTCTCTAACTTTCTGGAATTTCAGAAAGACCCGTTTTTGATGGTAGGTCTATATATCTCGCGTCTACGCGAACCGTGAGTGCATTTAACCGGCAAAATATGTAGTGAGAGCGCAAACAGCAGTTATCACCTTGAATAACTTCCGGTGTCAGAGACCCATTTTGCAGAAGGTAGGCGATTGTATATACAAAGGTAATGTAGTAGTTGTCTAAATTTAATACTATAAACCTCCATCTCTGCGACTCCAGAAAACTCAGTCACGAGTGTCTGAGCTGGATGGCGAATGTTGGCTGGCTGCAGCAGGTAGGCATGGGTCGCATGGGTTGTTGACTGGCAAAGAGTTTGACCCTTTGAAGCAGCAGATCGAAACTATTGGGGTGAACCGAGGCTTCCTAATTCAGTTGTGCGTCTGCTCTGTTAGCGGCCTTGAGGGTACGGGACAGATGCTCCTGGGCTTTCACATAAAGTATACGGGGTCACAGTGGATGGCGCTACAGAGATGTGAAGGATGATTATCATCATAAAATTATTCCTATCTCAACCAAACGCTCCATTAAGTGCCTGTGGTTGACCTGATTTCCCTGTGTGTAACGTAAAACTCCAGTGCTCAAGACCCATATGAACCCCCCTGATGAAGATGCGGACCGTTTTTCTACAAAATGCGTTTCACAAAATCGGCACTACCGTTGATCAATGCGCATGTAGCACTAACAGACAGAGAGCGGTTGGCAATAACTAATGTGGATCCATATGTAAGCGGGCTAACAAAGAGCAAGGGGCGGATGTTTTCCTCTATATAATCATATTGGGGGTCCGCAACTCGGTGGTCCGGATCCAGAAACCCCACCCAAACCGTGAGCCACGGCACCTGGAAGACAGCTTGAATTTTGCAGCCAATTTATCTTATACAACAGTGATGTCCTGAGCTCAGTTCTTCTGTTTGGGTCTTGCAGTTAGGTTTCGGTAAAGCAAAACATTGGCCGATGAATGATTCATGAAGTGTGTGCAGGATTGCCATCTGACTTGTCTAACCTTTCAAAAATCGAGGCTACTCATTAAAATGGAGGAACGATTATTGGGTCCCCAGCTGACGAGATCGCTATGAGAACATGTGTTTTGTTAACCACTGTGACCAAGTTCATAGTACACGTGTTGCTCACATCCATCTGTGCACAGTGTTCACGTACACCATCATTTTTCGCGGTTTGATGTCAACTGTCGGGCTACCATCATCACCTCCCGTGTGAACTGTTTGGTTCTGCAGGTAAACATCACGGAGAAAACAACCTGCTTCTCAGTTGGCAGCCTATAAAAAAGCTTACTTTGAGTTATCAAATAAAATAAAAATTCCTGTGTTATTGGACTTCTCCCTTAACTAATGTTCTTCGACGATCGCCAGCACGCACGCCATCGCTCTAAACCCCTCGCCTCCAGCTTATCCTACAGGAACCAAATGGCCCAATTTGCATTCACAAACACACTCCTCATTCTGCTGGGAAGTGGCTCACTGGATTTCCTCGTAACGCCTAAGCCGAGAAGTGTCATCTATGGGACATGAATACATTGGCGATTGAGTTTCGAGACATATTTCGTGTTCGCTACCGCACCCAAGTGTGATCACTTTAACTCAGGCGCAGGGAGGGAGGCTGATTGATGTCAGGTGGAGGGACAATGTTGGAACATCAATTGTTGAGATTACTCTTCAGGTCGGGTAAGAATCTAGTAAAACCACTTTACCTTATCATTCTTCTAGGGGTTGCTTCTCGCTCAATGCACCCTGTCCTATTAGTTGTTCATCTAGAGCACGCTTGCTGAAGTGCGCATCGTTAAAACAGTTTTGAGAGATGGCGCTTTATCTGGTGGAGGTCTGTAGGCCTTTTTCACTGGCCGTGCTATTGCAACCACAGAGCCGTCCGCAGGTTCGGGCAAGTTGGACCGCGACACGCGGGGTGCGGTCCCACTTCCGACGGAATTACTTCGGTAGGTCAAAGATTTGCATGCCAAACATGAATCAATGGAGTCGTCCAGTTGGGTAAAGGTGAACTGCCCATGTTGCTCCGGGGGACCCGGGACGACAGCAACGAAACGCGTCGTCAGGACGAAACGTCCCTTGCGGTAGTGGAGCTGCTGGAATTCGGGACGCATTCAACTAGTCAGCATCAGCTAATAGCCTGAGCGTTTCGTCGTCCGATATCCGCGTCGTGTTAAGGATGGCATACCATACATGTGTCTCCAAAATGATACTGGATCCCATCTCCATCACTAAATGTGACGTGGGTGGACAGGTCGGCGACGCTTGTTATAAAACGACCAGATATGGGAGTTGGTATCATCGAAAAAACACGGCACAAAGCACAAGTCGCACAGGTTGGGTGACCCAGCACGGAAGACTTTAAGGAGGCGACAACGTGCGTGTACTGAAACATAAATACTTTACTCTCAGCGAGCGTGTCTAGCCAGCTGCTTCGAAAGTGGTTGTTGACCACAAACCTGTTGGTTATGAGACGCGTCTCACGGCGCTTCACATATTCCCTGAATTATCCTCCTCTCTGAAAAGACCTATTCATTAATTATGCCCTGTTTGCACGAGGTTTGTTTGAAAGGTTTTTTATCTTCAATCTGGCCAGCACATGGCGGGGGAATAACCTTCCTCCACTGTTAATTAAATCTACGTCTAGAACCCAGTTCGAAGAACCTTTACCTCACATGAGAGATCTTTCTTACGTGAGTCAACTCGCCTTAGCATATACGGTGCTAATTCCAGCAATGCTAGGGCTAGTATACGGAGCTCAGTATTCACATACTAGAATTGGATTTTCGAAAGCTATGACGTGTCCCTGGACTAAAGAAACCGGGCACCTGAGTTGAGAGTACCAGTCAAACTTTTGAGCCCCATTTCGGCATCCCGGGGTCTCAGAGGTGCTGGGAAATCATCCCAAAGTATTTTCATCCAGAAGCATGGTTAACACCGGGAATAAAACATATGAAAGCACAACAAAACTCACTGTCAGCCGTACGTGAGGACAAGCGGAACGCAGAGCTTCCCGCGAGCAATGGCGCCGCACAGTTAAACAAAACCGCTTAAATCGGTTGACCGCTTGCATTTCCTAGGCACACGGAAATGCAGGGTTTTGTGGTTTTTTATTACTGTGAGACAAATAAAGAAGCTTTGATGTCTATTAAACGTCTCAAGCTCGCTAGGCTTAAAAACCGAAAATTAGTGCAGAATTTCTGCACTAATTCCGCACAAGTTCTGCACCCAGGAGCGGACGCGTGCTAACTGGGCTGCAGAAATATGAAAGTAGGTTAGGACGGATTTTGGTTTGAGCACATACGCAACGAAATGCAACATTTTGGCATAGAAAGTTTTACTACAGCTGTAAAGGTTTTGCAGCTGAGAGCATTGTGCTGATAATGGACACCCTACTATACTTATTTGATCCCTTGCATTCGAAATCCTGGTGATCACGTGATCTTGTCCGTTGGTCTCTGCCAGGACCAATCATTTCCTTCGTTTTGCTTGTGGGTGTGTCGACTTCCGTAGGGTGTTCGCAACAGGCAACATTCGACCAAATAAGTGGGGAAAGCGGGACCAGAGCTTGGGTGCCCGATGGCTCGGTGATCTAGATCACAGCTGTGGCGAGTGGGAAAAATTAATGTGTAGATTAAAGCGTTCCTATCAGATAGAATCTTCCGAGTGAAATTAGGCTCATTCGATCGTACGTACTCTTCTTCAGCGCCGGTCTACGTTAGAGTTCCTCAAGGCTCTGTTTTGGGACTAATTCTGTTTCTGATCCACGTCAACAACCTTCCAGATGTTTTTTCAAGTACTTGTCTGCTTTTTGTGGACGACTTGAAATCCTGGGGTTCAAATCCCAGGACCCTTCAAGTGGATGTAAACGCTGCAAAGCAGTAGTCATTGGACTGGTAACTTCCCCGAGTAACGAAGAGTGTCTATATGTCATTCGGAGGAGACTCAGCGAACGCCTTTATCGCACGCGGTAAGAATGGACTAGGTGTCACAAGGATAAATACTGAAAAGGATTTGGGTATTTGGCTCCCTTCAAACGTGTTCTTCTCACTACACCATGAAAGATCGGCCGAAGAGACATTAGCCGTTCTACGGATGATTCGTACTACTCACACGGACTTCCAGATACTCTGTGGGGCCTACGTCAGACCGCTTCCTGAACACGCCAACCAAATTGTCCACCCAGGATGCAAGAAAGACGTAACCCTCATTGAGCGTGCCCAGCGAGCGGCAACGAAACTGGTTGCAGGCCTCAAATCCGTTGATTATAAGACGCGTCTCGTGTCGCTTGGCCTATTTCCCCTGGACTGTCGTCTCCTCCTGAGAGACCCAATACTTACTTACGCCCTGTTTGAACAAGGTTTGGCCAACAGGTTCTTCCACCGTTGACTCAACTAACACACGGTGGGGACGTGGAAAAACGATTTCCAAGCTCAGAGCGCACGCCCCCATTGGGCAACAGTTCTCATTTCGGGTAGTTGGTGCGTGGAA